TCACAGTTTTGCTTCCATTTGCTGCAATTAATCAAGTCAACATGATGCCTTTGATCATGTGTTTTCATTAAATAGTAAGACTGAAAATCTCAACCCGATTAAGAATGCTTTACGGTAGCAGGTGGCAAAGGCCTAGATTTGTGTGGTTTTTATTATTTTACGTCAAGCTGTAATATTACAGAACCTAAATGTTGAGTAAGAGGTGTCAAATATACATGTATGTTACTGAAAGTGGCAAAATTTCTGACTGCTGGCTCTTTTTGACTGGTCTGAAACTTATTTATTTAAAATGTGTTTGCTTAAAAAGTGGCAGTCTATTCACGGTACACTGTATATCAGCATCTGTGTCTTTAGTTTAACTTTGATAAAGACTTCAAATCATGCTACTTTGGCCCTTCAACATGACAGGTACATGCATCAAGGTACATCAATACATGTAGGTTTTGCAACCAAGGATGAATGGAGTGTAGGAAAAATGAAAGTTTATCCCAAGAATTGTTATGTACAAAATAATAATTCCAGGCCTTTGCTACGTTTATCCCAATGCCATGTAAAATTTCAGTACAGCTAAAAATGAATAACTATCCTACTTTTCTGTTGTCATGATAAGTGAAATATCATTCATCATGTCATCACAAAATTTAATCCCAGGCACACTTTATCTCAGCAGTTCAAGCAGGTACAATGTAGGGCTGCCTTGGTTGAAAAAAAGAAAAGAAAACAAAACAAAACATGAAATACCACAATCACAGTCATGTATTCAAGGACCAATTTAAAATTAATCATGCAATAATTTTTCATGCACAACTCTCCGTACAATAGAGGCTTTACTATAACCTCAAAACGAAACAGAACAAATAGTTAAGAAACAAATCTACAATACTCGTCACAAATCTTGGAACACTTGTGTGATTTCCCCCTTCCCCAATGATGATTTGGATATTATAGTCGCCTCAGTGCTTCAAAATACGCGTGGCTCAACATCAGGAAGGAGAGGGCCACATTTTAGTGAGAACAAACGTGAAAAGAGGGAATGTAAGACATTTTCGCAAAAATTCAAGAAAAGCTGTTTCTGTTTCAACGATTTGTGACGTAGATTGCAGTCAAGTTTCAGTTTCTTTCACCTGATTGTTATACATGTAAGCTCATGTGAAAACATAGATTTTGTATGGTGCAGGGATACTGGTAATTGCAGGATCTTGCAGTGTGTGTGATAATGAGTCATGTACAAATGTATGTGCTGCAGAGTAATTTTCAAATACACTACAGCCTTCTTGCACAGGAAATTAAATGACCAGTCACAAATGCATCATACTTTAACTATTGTTGACATGTATTCTGTTGTTAATTTTGTTTAGATGTTGCTGCAGTACAAGTACTTATGTAACTGAATGGCTCGAGCAACAACTATAGTCAAAGGTAAGATTTACACTTAACTTTTTATTGACACAACAAATGATTATTTTGTCTACTTCTTCTTGAATTTGCTATTTGCTGAAATAGGTATCTGTATTGGCCGTGAAAATGGGCATTTTCTTATTTCATTGAGGCTTGAAATTTGTTGTTCGTTTTCAATGAATGGTGAAATTTGGAAAGTTACGATTGCAACTTTAATGGGAGATAATACTTGTTGGTTCTTCATCAAACTGTGAGATGAAGATGAGATTGACCCTTTAAATATTTACTGCTCAGGTCGTTTTCGTTCCACATGGAACGATGCATATTTTCCTTCCTGGACCCATGTAGCTTTTAGTTTAAGCCAATAAGTTGGTAAGCAACAACGTCAGCAGAGATAGATGTTTCCACCGATACCTCGTTTTGGATATTCTGATCAACCCTAACAGAGTTACACTCACTAAAAAGAGAGTAAAAGAAAATGACTGAAGAATAGTAGGGATCAACTCGATTTCCTGGAGGTGCCTTATCTTTTGATTGTACTGCTGTATAATATTTCTAGCATTATATCCTCTCTCTTAATATTATATATTGTAGACAAGGAAACAGGAAAGTATTTTTTGAATCAAGTTTGATTAAGCCTGGCTGCAGTTAATAAATTTAACCAAGAATGAAACTGAATCATACTGGGCATGAAGTATACAAGTGTGCTAGGGTTGCTGGTAACAGTAAAAAGTTTGTTTTTCAATGGTTTAGTGGCTGTTACAGGCCATTTGTATTTTATTTGTGCATAATTCTGTATAATTTTCTTGTTTGCAATATACTTCTGAATTTGTATGCCATATAAATGTTTTATGTTGTATCTGTAAGATATATATGTAGCAATGTCTGGTTTCAATGTAAGACTAGTGAATGTTTCTGTTAAGTTCCTTAGTATGTCTTGCATGGGTAGTTTTCAGTGACCATTTCATTACAAAAGGCTGTTATTATCAAACAAAAATATTTGCTGGGCTACTTATTTGTGTTCTTGCGACCTCTTTGTTAGTTTTTCAGGGGCAGTGAATTATATTGTTTTGACATACTTATTCTTCATTGCACAGTAGTATTAGTGTACAAGATAAAAAATTTTATTATAATTTTATTTTAAATTTACCCGGTCTTGAGTTTTCACAATCTGTCCAACTGTAATGCTCAACAAATCCAAACTTTAATACTGAAAACAGATCAGCTGGCCTTGAAACTGGGCAGCAAAAAATAAATGCCACAGCAGATGATGAATTACACAACTTGATATTTTAAAGGTATCATCCACCCTCAAGCACCCTCCCCGCGTTGATCGGCGCTAGCGCTTTTCTGAAGTAGAGAACCGATAATATTACTGTAAAAATGATGTCAGTGCTATCATCTGAGTTGTGATGCCATTTTCTTACCAAGTCACGAAATTTTAATACAGGTCACGGAGGTGGAGCTATATTCAATACAGATATTGGTTTGCGGGGGGAAAATTGAACAAAACAGAAAACGAACGTGAGAAAAAGTAATTTGTTCCTTCGCTCTTGCTTGCAGCAAATGAATGCCACGGGATAATGGCTAACTTTCGCTGGATAATCTCTCTGACGGTTTAGTATAATGTGCGCCATCTTGTTTTGTCTCTTTGGTAGTATCCAGACCCTTACATCCAGCTAGACCGAGCTAGATCGCTCGACCCCACTCGTTTCAACGCCCTAGCTTCTTACGCCCTGGTAGGTACGTACGTACGCTCGGTCAGTCACGTGACAACCAAACGAAAAGAGGTTGACCATATTCCATGAGTATGGGGCTCTGTCTCTGACGAAGCGCGCGTGAGAACTCCGCTAAAGTCTTTGGTAATTCATTGCTTGCATTCTGCTGTGTGTTTGTTTTTTATTTGAAACTAATTCTAAGAATAAGCAGGTTCCGAATTATAGTCACACATCAAGATATTAAAAGCTAAAGATAATAACAAACTTAAAAAAACAACATAACACAACTTCAAAATTGTCCACGTTGTATTTTATACATTATAGCCTCCCTTTTGTCTCGTCACGCAAACCTAGGACAAAAACCTTACAACCTTGAAGACCATGTGTTATCCTAAACTAAGATACAATAGACTATTTACTACCGTTCCAACCCCTTGATCTTTCTACATGGGGCCGCACTCAACTTCCAATATGGAACCTCTAGTTTATTTTTAAATTCATACGTTCGCGTTTATAAAATTCTCGAAACTTATTAATAGTCATAGTCAACTTAAGCGGGCTTAGCTTCGGGTTCAGGCGGTAAATATCTCGGCTTTCATATAATATCCATACGAGTTACACTGGCTTTCTAATGATTCAATGATTGCTTGATTAAACAAAAATCCCAATACTTCAATATAGCAGTAACTAATGCCATTAAGACTAAAATCATTTTGATACATTGATCACATAATTACTAAAAAACGTAAACTTAAGCATTCAAGCTGGTAGATATAGCAGCACCAACAGGTAATAAACATCAACTAACTTTCATGACATTTCTAATTAAACATGCAAAACACGGCTTAGCTACAGCCGTTGCTCTTTAAAACCCAAATTAAAAATCATTGTTTCTTTGTTGTACTGACCAAGGATATGTCATGTAATATATCAAACATGAGATGCAGTGTTTCATCACCAGATGAAACACCGAGAAGAGAGTTGAAAATACGACGCGCAGCGGAGTATTTTTGACGAACTTCGAGGTGTTTCATCTGGTGATGAAACACTGTGTCGAATGTTTGATATTTCTTCTCAAACAAAATCATTTTTGAAGGAGAAATTAAGGATGCAAACACTAAGCAGTGTTTCATCCGATTTCCAAACACTCATTAAACATTAATTTCCTTTGTATTTTCTTAATGAATTATTAATGAGTTTGAGAAGTATACATCATATTTGCTTATTCTCAATGCTAATCTACTAAGTATGTGTTTCTTTTTTAACAACTTCTTGAATAATTGTAATATACCTGCTGTGAGTTGGTTATAAATTTCATCACTAAATCATAAACACATCACGTTGTCTCCTTCAGTGGCCAATTTTTTATTTTGTTTACAGCAACATGTAGACGCAAAACGCAGAAATAAACAATGCTTAATAAAAAAAAAGCAAAAGAAAGGCATGCCTCTGTGAAGTTTCCAGAAGTCACCCATACGGATAACGAGTTTCTCACTTGTAAAAGTACTAGGTGAAGTGCTTGTTTTCAAATAAAATGGAAGACAATGCATTTTTATAGGCCGTCACAACATCTGTTCTATAATACAACGCGCAAACTCTTGAGACATGCTGTTCAGTAAATTGTTTAAATGCTTTCTTTCCTAAATTTTTAATCACGTCTTTGTTGTTTGATATGTACCTGCCTTTAAGCCTCTTCTCGATTTAAATTTCTCGCCAATGGACCTATTGCACGTCAAGTATTTGTATGAATAATGATCTTTGCACACTTACAATATACATTCCTCGTTGACGCTTAGAGATGGAGAAAAGGTGCAAGATTGCAGCTGTAGCGTCGGGTTGTCATGTTTGAAAGGACGAACCAAAAGACAAAAAGTTTAATTCGCAATGAATCGCCCAAGTTGGATATCATGGCTGGTAGTCCTTTGCATTGTACAAAACGTTACTCTGGAAAACTCGGAAGATTGCCCAAGTAAGTCATCTTGCACTTCATTCTGAAAACTGCTTTGAATACATTTACAGCAATATTTCTTAACTGATATCAACTTTTAGCATCATTATATTACGCCTGCAATCATTTCGTTAGGAACATGTCAAAGTGCTTTGGGTCTCGAAAATGATTTCATCAAGGACAAGCAACTCTCTGCTTTCTCCGCCTACAACAACGATCCTTCCACCTTCGGCGCTCATCGAGCTCGGTTAAACTTAAACACATGGCCCCCAGGTTACAGAGCTGACAAGAAAAGTCTCGAATCAAGTACAGGAAATCCATGGCTTATGGTTGATTTAGGAAGGGAAGTAGTTATCACAGGAATAGCGACTCAGGGATATGGAGATACATCAGTGTCAGAGTGGGTTACTAGTTATCGGCTAATGCATGCTGTCGAGAAACTGGGTTCTGTTTATTATAGTTTCATGGACGCAAATGGCGACGTTCAGGTAATCATGTTGTCTACGTATAGTGTTATTCAATGTAAATAACTTTGAGAATCGGTTTCGCGCTCTCCAGGAAATCTTTGTTTGATGTTGTAGATTCATTTGCCATGAATTTATGATACGTTGTTTTATCTTGGCCTTCATATTCACTATTTCACTATTTCAGAACAGGCACCGATTATCAAGGCCCAACCCCCCCCCCCCCCCAAAAAAAAAAAAAAAAAAAAAAAAAAAAAATTTCGACACATATTTTTTTTAAAAAAAAAAAAATTAATTCCTCTAAAGGAAAACCCCCAACTGTTTCAAGGAACTCGTTGCACAATAAATTAAGTGTCCATTTTCAAATAAGAAATTTTTTTTTTTTTTTATTATACTGTTGATTTGTGTATTATAATGAAAATCTTATGAAAATGTTTTCCCGCGTCACAAAAAAATTTTTTTTTGTTTTTTATATTTTTTTTTCCTTAATTTTTGTTATCTTTTTTTATTTTTCGCCTCAAAATCACTCTTTCCCCTATTCCAAAAAAAAACAAAAAAACAAACCCCCACCCCCCCCCCCCCCAAAAAAAAAAAAAAAAAATAAAATAAAATAAAATAGAAAAGACTTGGCTCATGTATGTTTTTACAAAGAAAATACTTGATTCCCTCTAAGGAAGACCCCTGACTTGTCTCAAGTATCCAGTTGACAAATAATTAAAGTTGCTACTTCAAAATAAGTATTTTATTTTCATCTAAGTAAAATTGTGCATTTGCGTGAAAATTACGCGCGTTTGCCATGAAAATTAGTTTGATACATCATATACTTGGAAGCCATAGAATAAGAGACAAAAGAACCACAGGGAAGCATTCTTTGAGAGTCAGTGAGATCGCTATTGTAACCCTTTGACTCGTTGTTTTCGAATGAAGCCTATTCAGTCGACTAGCTAAAGAAAATGTAATCTAACCGACAAGGCTTTCGATTTCTGATATAAACTGAACTAAAAGGCAATACAACGTTTCTGTCATTCCCCCGCCCGAAAAGAAAAATATGAATATAAAGATCACATAGAATGTACTGTAGATTAGTAATTTTATTGGTGGTTGGGTGTATAGATCAATTTCATCACACCAAGCATTACGCAACAAACGAAGTATGTAAAAAAAAACCGTCATCTCAATGACCCAAGGATGTACTAAATAAAAAACTGATCTATCTGTCAACGATGAACATATGGATCAAATACCTCTAACAATCCGTTCTTTAATAACCATACGTAGCTTACTGATTTACAAGAGTCGATAGTTCAATTTTGCAATCAGACATAAAATCGTCACAATTCAGTGGTGAAAATTGCCCCCTATAAAAAACCTGGTTCTTTATTCTGTCATAATTGATACTGTAGGGAATCTGCCGACAACTTAACTTTAATTGTCCCTTATTTAATCCAGAATTGCACAGTTACAAGCTTACATCAACATGAATTTCCTTTGTCAGCACCTTGTTTTCTTGAATTCAGACATTGAAACGGTTGTCGACTCTTTTGCGTAATTAGCTCAGCTACAAAAAGCAGTGTTCATCCGATATACAGTCATCATCCATGACCGAAAATGGAGAAGAAAAAACCGAGACGCAATCGAGTGCTTAATTCAACGCCTTGACTCAGGCCGAGTGTTCCAAAGGATATCGAGACTGGGATGATTTTAAGTTTCGTGTCGCGCATATGTATGTACTTTCCGTGCAAATAGAGAGCTGTTAATATTATGAAGCGTCTGTTTAAAACAGATATCGAAGCAAACCCTGTTTCAACCTTTTAATTTAGAGTACGACAGCCATTAAATGATCCACTGTTCTTAAAAAAAGAAATAATAAGCCAAACGTTATAAATTCAAATGGCAGTTAGTATTCAATAAGTAAATGGATGTTGTCATGCTTCGTGAAGATACTCTGAGGTAATTATTTCATTTATTTAATATAGTTTCTTTTTCGGACGGTGCTAGGAGCGCGTTTTGCGCTTTAAAAAGATCATTACCGCGTCATTATCATAGGTTACTTGCTACATTAACAGAAACATTGAAAATTATATTTCTGTAATACTCGAGGAGCAACCCCTAAAGATTTTAAAATAATTATGAATCGATGATGTTGGTTTCGTAAACATATTTTCTTGAGATTGCCAACAGTTTCTAGACTAATCCTAAAAATCTACTTTATTACATCGAAAATTCTCTGTTCTTCATTTCACTTTTAATGTTGGAAGACATCCCACAACCCATTTCATTCTCAATCATTCAATCACCCTCTCTTAACACGTTCTTAACAACGCTTTGGTTCAGCTTTTGGAAAGATTATAGTCTTTCTACATGCATCTTACAGGAAGCAAAGAAATACAACCTAAATCTTTGTATCGACCAACAGGAGTGTCTCGTTGTGACGATATTTTAGACTTGTTAAAACACGAAATGCCAGTTGATTATATCGCAAGCATAATCACTGAAATCTATCTCCACGATTTAATTAGGACTTGAAGATTATACGCGGTCATTCACAGTACGTATTTTCTTTAAGAATTGTTAAGACAAAACAGTCGACAACTGTTTCAATGTCTGAATTCAAGAAAAAAAGGTGCCGACAAAGGAAATTCATGTAGATGTCAGCTTCGAAAATGTGCAATTTTATTTTACAAGTTAAATCGATGGCAGATTCCCCGAATATCAGTTTTGAGCGCGTATAGCATTCAGTTTTTTAAAAGCCAATCAGTGTCTTTATGTGATAAGGTCTTTACGTAAAGAGGGATACCAACAGGGATACTTTTTTAGATCAATAGTTTTACCGAAACTAACGTACGGTCTTCCTATATACGCGTCCTCAACACCTGAATTAAAAACAGTCCAGAATTTTCTACAGCGTTGCTTTAAACGCAAATACATATCTGATCAAATTAACATATATAACGTCTTAGGGCCTGTTTACATGGAGGTTGGGGACCCCAGGTAGGTGAGGTAACCCGCTTAGGTGGGGTAACCCGCCTGTCCATACAATCTCTCATTTTAATGTTATTACGTTTACATGTTAGGTGGGGTAACCCGCCACATGTTACCTCACCTTCCTGGGGTCCCCCACCTTCATGTAAACAGGCCCTAAGAAGAGGCGGGCTATTCAAGATCTCCAGCATGCCCGGCCATCCTTCGTATCCTTTCCTCCCCAAAACAAAAGAAATTTCAATACGCAACGTTTCTAAAATAGTTCATTATAGATAGGCTGTTCTTCAAATATAAAGTAGCAATTTAAAATAAAATGGATTTTAACATTTTGAAAAGGTTTTCACTCTTTTAGCTTTTTCAGTGTTCTTAGTTTTTAGCATGTATTTTTGCTCAAAACATGATAAAGACCTTATTATTTTTAATATTATTAAGGCGCTTTTAAAATCGTTTGCAGGTTTTTGATGGGAACCAAGACAGCAACACAATAGTTAAACACGAGGTCATGGCCCCTGCAGTCGCCAGAACCCTCCTCTTGTTACCTTCCAGCTGGCACAACAACATTGCCCTCAGAATAGAGGTTTATGGCTGCAACCCTGGTATATCACCTTGATTTTTTTTATCACGCCTTTTGCCCCACATCCTAACTACATTACCTCCCAGAGTCACCCGTTTGAAATATTTAATTCTTGGTGAGAGTAAAGTAAACCAAGGTCGCACACTGTTATAGAGTACATGTATAAATTCGTAACTTGTTTCTATTATTAACCATTATGAAAAGCCCTTCGTGTGCAAAATTTTAACTAAAGGAAGCCTGTTTTTTTTCTTTGTTCTAGGATACTATTTTGAGGCTTGGTTGGTATTGACCAATACTCCATTTTTGATGCAATACCTGAACACTTCAAGCAATGAACATAAAGAAGTGGCTTTAAGGGTAACAGAAGAGGTCAGTACAGCATTAGGGTTAAAAGCCATATTCTCTTGAGTTATTTTCTTACTCGGCAGGAATTATCCAGTAGCGTTTACGAAGCAGCGAGGCGGAGTTTTCGAGCAGTCGGATTCGCAATCCTCGGTCCCAGGTTCGAGTTCCGCTCCTGTCAAAGCAAACCCAGACGATTTGCTTCTCGGCAGTACTGAGTCCAGTAAAAATTCCAGCGTTTGTTTTAAAGCAAATACTTGAAGCCGGCAGCAGTCTCGCGAGTAAGCAGCGACTGTCTTTTAATTCTGGATTGTCGTTATGGCAGTGGACCATAAGGCATTGATCTTTGTTCAACCCTGCTTTGCTTTGCACTCAACAAAGGCCCTGTTTAATTTCATTCAATTAACTTCCTTTCAGGTCCATTCGTTTTTTCGCATGGTGGGAGGATATTTGAACAACAGGGTCTTGAAATTGAGGTGAACACATTTTGTAGAATATTTTTGGCTGAACCTGTTAGAAAAATATAGAAAAACGTTTTTGAAGCTGACTTTCAGATTCACCTAATCATCCTACGATTATTAAATTCATTTGATTTCGCAAATGATACTTTTTTTTAGAAACTTATCACTTTTTGGTTTGTTGAAATCAGGTACCCTTATCTCCCTCCGATTGTGTATTTTATATAGACCACAACCATCTTTTGGCAGTACGCTTACAACTGCACAGATAGCGATTTACTGCACGGAATCGAGTACCCATAACCTCACTACAACACTCAAGCAGTTCATTCGGCAAGGAGTTCCTCCTGCAGGTACTCCGACACGTTTTGAGCCTGCGTATCTGGAAATTAACTACCCGTGTAAGTAGCTATTTTTTAGTTGTTTCGGGCTTTTTTCCCTTTTGTTATGGCTTTTCATGTGTTTTTGGACACTTCAGTGGCTGTGTTACCAAGATTTCAATACAAGTCTAAGTTTTATAATTTGCTATTGTTTTAAGGTTTGATTAATTATAATCAGTTCCTTTTTGTCTATTGTTTAATTTGGCTTGATCTGCTCAAAAATATTAGTCAACAAGCTGTAAATTCGAGATTAAAAAAGGTTAATGTATGCATCTATGTACGTAAAGCTCTTACGTGTCTCATTTATATGGCACTCTCATCAAACACTTATGCCTTACTTAATTCCCCTCTTCAGAAACTCTAGGGACAATGGGCGCAAGCTTTGAGTGTAGTGATTCCTGGGGTCGTTTGGGTAGACAAACGTTAGGTTTGATTTGTTGATGATATTCAAGGCAACCATTAAACAATCGTGAGTAACGCTTGTTTAGTCAAACAATCCAAGGAATCATTTCGCCGAAAGCTTACACCATTTCCCTTATTGTTTTTGGAGTAAGGAATTCTTTCATGGAAGCAATTGTCTCTTTCGTAAACCGTCGCTACCATTTTTAAGACACTTAGAAAATTTTTGACCTGTTATGGAGAGTGTTTCTATTTAAAAGAAAGACAATCGAAACCCAGGGTCCAGCCCAGACTGAACTCCGACCTCTCGTATCCTCTATCCCTCACCACAACACTACCACACCGACCCGCCAAAATTCCGAAAAATTTAAGTACGTCAACCCCTCAAACTGTCTCTTTTAACTGATACATCAATAACAGGTGACCCTAGCCCTTTCCATAACTTTTCATGTCAATTCAACGTTGGCCTCAACGTCGCTCTTTCTGAGACTATTAAAATTACTTGCCTTGTTGTAACTTAAGCCAGGGACTATAATACATCTATCATAACTAAAGGCTTGGTTACCAATGGTGGCATCAACCGTTAAAAATGGGAACGACCGTTTACGAAAGGAAATAGGCGTCGTGGAAGTGTCTCATTGTACATTTTTAAAATCACTTTTGGCTATTAACAAAAGGATAATTTAATCTATTTCAGTTGCATGCGATTGTCAACCACCAGCAGTTAAGCTACCCTTGAAGGGCTCTGTTTCCGAGTCAGACATAGTGTACACAACACAACGAACATTATACCTTTGGCCTAAAGTGACCATCAGATGTTCCGCTTCGAATCAGACAGATTATGAATGGATGATGTCAAAGATCGACCCCAAAACAAAGACCTTCGGGAAATTTTTAATGGAAAAAGGAAAGGCCATCCAGCTAATACCATTAAAATTTGATGCAGAAATCTTGTTTGTTGCATTAAAAGTAGTGATAGCAGGAGTGCCAGGGACTTCATCGTATGACTTCGGATTTATAAGAATCCGTCGACCAGAACTTGTGGCCAAAATCAACGCACCGAAGTCAATAACAAGGAACGAAACTGAGGTCAGACTGAATAGCACAGGCTCTTGCGATCCAGAGGCAGAAAGTCTTCATAACAAAGGACTGAATTTTGCTTGGAAATGTCAAAGAAAATGCCTAAAAAGTTTTTTGGATACTGTATCAATTACCAAAGTGGAATCTGAGCCTTGCTTTGGTATTGCCAACGAGAGTGAATCTGTGTTTTCTACAGAAAGTGTAGTTGCCATTGAAGTCGCCTCCCTAACATTTGGATGCACTTACTTTTTTGAGTTGGCAGTGATGAAAGACAGCAGAGCTGCTTATGCAGAGCATGAGTTAGAGTTGAAGTCAAAAGTTCCATTCTTTGTTCGGTAAGTCAAGCCAAAATAATCCAAGTGTTCAGCTAGATTGGTAAATAATAAATCAATTTTAGTGATACGCAAACTTCTATATCATCGGAGGATTTGTCATTTGGCAACAATTCTTAGTGCTGAATGGCGCCCCTTGATTGGTTGTTTTACCGTCAGGGATTTACGGGACGGACCGTTTCCAAGAAGACGGTCCTTCCGGATATTTTTCTTGCCCCCCTAAGCACGTTCCGTACAGTCATAACCTTGGGCTACAACTACTACCAGAATCCTTTAGGGTTTTGCTTTTTTCTACCAAACTAGGGCTTTTGTTATTTGAATTTCACAGGGTTAGCAAATTTAAATATGGAAGAAAAAAAAAATGAATTGTGGTCTTAGTAATAGAGCGATGTCAAGGTGCCAATAACTTATACCACCCAGTAATGCCCTTGAGCTCGGTTTGTAACAGGTTAATAGGGAGCTTAAGCAACAACGACGTCGACGGCTACGGAAACGTCACTTAAAAAGTGAATACACGCTGCTCCAGAGTTTATCGTGCTTATTCCATCTTGATCAATTCGTCAAATGTTGGCAAATTTCTCTGGAGTTGAATTCTAAGGGACTGTATCAAAGTTCAGGAAAAGGAAAAGAAAGTCGTTGTCTTGTGTTCACGTCCTCTATGAAACGTAAAATAAAGCATTTTCACGTCATAGTCGTGCAGTCACGGCAAAGAAATGTACAAAAAAGCGTGATGCACGTACAGGGTTGCTGTTTAGCTAATCTAAACCTATAACTTCGTAGCTGTCGCCGTCGTCTTTGCTTAAGCTCCCTAATATTCAATGGTGTCTGAACATTAAACTGGATCATGAGTTCAGAGTATTTATTTTCAATGTTATTCAGGTGCATCAATAATTGCGCGAAAAAAGTTAGTCCCAATAAGCTCATGAAGCTTGAGGTCTTTTGTGGAGGAATACAGTGCGCCACGATCGCCACATTTTCATGGACCATTCATATTCTTGTAACGAATCATCAAGGTGACTCCATCTGGGAAGAACTGAAAAACGCTAGTGGCCTGGTAAGGACTAGTGAAGACACAACACAGTTTAGTATATCCAGCGTGGATAGTGTGATTCCAGTCAGAGATGGGCAGAAATTTCAAATCAGAGTAAATTCGTTTGATAACAATGGGCAGCCTCAGGAACAAGAGGTCTATTCCTTTCTCCTTAACTCGCCACCAAAAAACGTTCAAGGAACAGACAGTGGCTGCAAAGTGACACCGAGAGAAGGCGCCGCCATTCTTACAGACTTTTATGTGACTTGCTTGGGTTGGTACGACAAAGATACACCACTCCGTTACGCTTTTAAATACACGTTTAGTTCTAGTACGGTTATCATTCAAGATGGAAGTATTGGAAATGTGACAAGCAAACTGCCTCTAGGTGACCCTAATAAAGATCACGAACGCATACTGGAGCTGCAAATTATTGACGCTTTTGGAGAATATACAAGCGTTTTTGTAAAAACAAAGGTGAGGGTCTTATTTAACCTTTGCTGTACGAAATTACCTAGACCACACCTTTCAAAGGAATATTTCTTTGACAAACGTAATCTATACTATAGTTGTCGACTTATCATTTTGATTATCAACATTTTTGCCATCATCATTCTCATTGTCATTATTATTCTCACCTAGCTTTCACTGCCAATACCGATGTGATTGCCGTTATCATCACCATTATCATTGTCACTGTCTTTGCCATTGCTAATGCTATTGCCATTTTAACTGCTGAATTATCATTGTCATGGTGGGTGCCATTGCCAGTTGCTAGTGTCATGGGCATGGTCACTCGTTTTCAATGTCTGTATGATAATATTTTAGTGTCAGTAGTACCAAAAGACAATGAAGTAATGGAGGTAAAAGTAGTAGTCTAAATATAGATTGAAGTGTAGGCTTTCTAAAACTTTCCCTCAGTCGCGTAATAGTTTGCGCTTGTGTTTTTCTTGTACTTTTTGTTATTCCAGGTAAAACCACCGCCTGCATCGGAGGCCCTGTTGAGACTAATCAAAGATGCTGAAAATGAAATGGAGCTGTTGGTTAACAACAAAGACGTAGAAAAAGCGGCAGATATGGCCATAACGATACTCTCTGTTGTGGACAACAACGATAAATTAAAACAAGACGAAACGGTGAGATTGACAAACATCACTAAGTGGGGTTTAGAAAGATTAAATTTATATAGTTGAGTATATCAAAATTGTCTCTGAAAAAAAAGAACTTAAAGAAAGGAGTAAATTTTAGGTCGCCGTAGCAGTTTTGGGCAAAGAAACAACGAATTTATGGCTAAGTGTACGCTGTGAAGGTCAATTTTTGTCATTGTGCATCGTGCTTGCACGATAATCGTGCATGAGAAGCCGATAAACGTGTATCAAACCTGAATTCCATTGATCGTGCATAGATAGTGCCTTCATGGTGCCTTTACTGAGCCTTAACTGTGCTTTCATCGAGCCTTTTTCGAACAATCGTTGATATATATCATTTGAAGAGAAAACTATGGTGTTGAAAAGAGAAAGAAATAATAAAAATAAATTGGGGTATTTAAGTTGCTAAGAAAGTCCGTTTTGTATCATACTCTACGAGTTTGTTTTGTTCTGCAGTGTCATCGTTCCTCTCTCTTCGCGCTTAAACAACTTATCGTGCTTAACTGTCGCCTTCATCGTGCTTACATATGGCCGGCCTCAAGGACAAAGGCACGATGCACGAAATGACAAAGAACGATAATCGAGCCTCTACGCGCAGCTATGCATCGTGCCTTGGAAATTTGGTGCATTTAAAAATACTTTCTAACACTAAAAAGGTGTTTTTTATTTAATAACCATGGAAATTCAGCCATAAATTTTGAGCTGAGGAGAAACTTTGGTATATGTGCATCTCTAGATGCTTTGTCTATTCTGGTCAAAACAGTTTTTTTTGTAGAGGTAACTGAGACCGAAGCTGAAAGTAGGCCAAAATGGCGTCTTTTAACCACACTTCATTTCGTTCACAACAAATTTATTTCTTTAAATCAAAGCTTTATGCAGAAAATAGGTACTCGTTAAAATGCACGTTAATTGCGCATCAACTGTGCATAAAATCAAGTTTCTATTCATGTGTTTAGAGGAACTGTAAGACTAAATGTAGCATTAGGCCATTTATTACAAAAAGGCGGTCACCAACATCGTGTGCATACCCTTATATGATTTTATATTGATTTGTATTTCAGTTCAAAGACTCTGTGTTACGAATTATGTCTGGAGTTGAAGTGAATCGATTGAACCTTGTGACAAAGGTAGCGGTCATTACTGCATACTCTACCAAGCGTGTAGACAACAGACTTTCTCAGTCCACACAGGTCAGTCCACTATTAATTCATGGTAGGGACCACATGAAAATATTTCTTAGGAAAAAACGACTAGGGCAGAACGCAGGCATTGGTGGCGTTCGGGGCGTGGTTGTTCATACCTCGATTAAACTAATCGCCCATCTTGGGTTGAATCTTCCTAATCTCTGTCGTTGGTGAGCTTATCGCGGGCTAAGAATCCGTTGCTCAAACGCCGACAATTGTTTTTTTAAGGGCATTACCAATCTGTGTTATGGAAGTTTCCGTTTTAATAAAAGTAAAAGATGCCTCGACTAGTCACATTGAATGTTCGTCCAACAGTACAGAAATTAAAGCCCACTGAAAATAATGGGCGATTGGCACATTTAATCGTGGATTAATTTTAATCGGAAATACCGACAACCAGGTAAGAAGTTCCATGATGAACAGGAACAATTGGTTAATATCGCTATCTCATGACTTTGATTGAACACAAGCATGTGTACTACTAATTCCACTGCTAATATTTTCTATGTTTCCCTACCTCAGAAATTGCTTATCGTTTTATTCTCCATTAGGAGGATGCACTAACGTTGTTGACAAAATCAACAATGTTCTTAGCAACGATGAAAAATGACACAGCAAAAGAGGCGGAGATTGGAAAAGAAATCAACATTAACATTCTGACTGGAATTGGAAACGTCATGATGGCTTCATCTAAGGATGCTAAAATAACAGAAGATGGAGAGAAAAGTGCTGTCGACAGAGAGAAGGTATATCTTTAATGGGGTACTTGAGCGCTGTCCTTACCAAACTAAACAGGATGCAAACGGGCAACTAAACACACATTTGAAAGCTTTTAATTTAAATTTATTTGTAGAGCGATAATAACCAAACATTTATATAAGCATATTAAATACTAATAAATAATGATGTCACTCTGTCTGCGGAAACGAAACATTACTAAACTTTTTTCCCTCCTTTCTTTCATACCAGAGCAAGAAAATTACAAAGAGCTGCATGAAACTCGTTGACGTAATGAAAGACGAAGTTATCGAGGCAGAGGGTATCTGTGAAAACCCAATAGTGATTACCACTCCATTTCTTAACCTAACAGCGTGTGTAGAAAGAGCTAACGACATGAAAGTACAGAACCTGCTAAAAGGTGGAAACGGAGTTAAGCTTCCTGATCCCAGCACCCTATTCGAGGGTCAAGAGTTGGACAATAATACTGTTGTAGATGTAAAGGTACTTAACACTTTGTCAGTCCCAGTTCATTCAAGATCTTTACTTAAACCCTTTATTCCCTGTTTGCTACGAATTCCACTTAAAAATTCATCGCCTTAAAAAAAAAGAAAAGAAAAGAAACAACTTTGGAGAATTTATAACCTTTGGACTTTTACTGCCTATATCCCAGCGTGTGACCATATATTTGGTACATTCAGCAGTACTTTTCTGCGGAAGTAGTTTTAGCCTACTCCATCATACAATAATGTTACCAGTATGACGATTAAAGAGCATGTTGACATGGAAGTCCTTATATCAATACTATCCTTTGTCAAAAATTGCAGAAACTGCTTTATTAGAGCCCATTGGCACAAATATCTAATTTAAGGTGTTCTCTTTTTTTTACAGCTTACCTCGTTTAGGGAGAATCCTTACACCTGGCACGTGAACTCCAGGCTCATTAGATCTTCTGTTCTTGACGTATCTTTAAAGAACGTCACTTCCGGCAGAGCCATTCGTGTGCAAGGTCTTAAAAAGCCTGTGCAATTATTTATAAAGAACTGGGAACGGGAAGAAAAAGAGCTAAAGAAACAAAAGAAACAGAAACCAAAGGAAATCTTTTTCGTAAAACCTAGTCCTTCCAATTCCATAAGAAACATGCGTTTTCATAAAATTTCGCTTTCATTATATAAAGATATGGAAACCAATATTAAGATAGTGCCATCGAATAACGAGAGACTAGAAATTTACATCAGAAACCGAGTAAGGCCAACACCGGTAGACAACAATTTTCAAACCACTGTTCCCGACTTTACTTCCTGCTTAAACTCCTCGAGAGGAGACGGGTTTGACAAGTGTTTATCAGACCCATACCTAATAAGGATATCGCCGAAAATCACGGGACATACAGGAACTCACTACATCGGTATTCGGTATGTTCCTAAATCACCCATCAACAAGAATAACAACACAACAAGAGTAAAGAGAGGATGCCGGGAAACTGGCGGTCAACGTCACAAGCGGTCATGCGTGGAAGTGAAGAACCCGCCTTCTGTAGCAAAGCTTGTAACTTCCGAATTTCAAAATGGTACTGACGTGTGGTATAAAATTAGAGTTACGATGGGAGCGTGTATGTATTGGTCAGAGGAAAAAGAGGAGTGGACAAACAGAGGCTGTAAGGTATTATTTGTAAGCATATTATGGGTCTAAGCCAAATAATATGCAAGCGCAAAATATACTTTCTTCGACTTGTTTAAAAATGATTGTTGCTAACTTAGGTGACAAAGCCTATATTTCTACATAGAATTGTTTTTAGAAAGCATTAACATAGAGCAGCGATGGAATGTTTAAGAGACCCTCGTATCCATGTGGCCGGGAATTGGCCATATTTGAAACCTCTTTTTTTAATGTTCTCAGACGAGGTTGCTTGTAAGTCTATGAGGCGGCAAACCACCTGGTAAGCTTACGCCTAAAATCTGAAAAGGGGCTGTGCCTCGCCATTTGCTATCTTTACCGAAAGTTAAACCGTGTCTTCATTTCAATTGAATCCAAAAATAAAGACCCACACTATATTTAGGCACTGAAACTGTTTCTTATTGTCTTTTTCTACTTCTACGGGTGGCAAGGGTGGACATGGATTGCCCAACTTTTTCATATTTTAATACTATGCCTCAAAAATCAGCAAACAATTATCGTGTATAGTGCCCCCTTATAAAATTTGTATCATATCTTCATAACCCTGCAAGAGTATTGTGTATGGGAAAAGACACTAAGTGATGACTTCAGAACAAAATTGACCTTAAACAGCAATATCCTCGTTAAATAGCCCCTTCAGCAGCAATTTCTATTTTATTTGATTTTTAAGTCTTTTGTTCATTCTCTATTTCATCCTTATTACTGTTAGATTGGAAGTAAAAATACAGTTGGAAAAATTCATTGCCTTTGCAATCATCTGTCAGCATTTGGTGGAGATTTCTTTGTCGCGCCAAATCCTATCGATTTTGATGTGGTTTTTGATGAGTTCACTCGCCTTGGGGAGACTGGAAACTTTGTGGTTTTATCCTTCGTTTGCCTAGTATTTGGTGTTTACGCTGCTGGACTCGTATTTGCGAGGAGAGCGGACAAGAAAGACCATTTTGAGGTATTTTTTAGCAAGTGTATTTTGTTCTACGTAATTAACAGCTTGGAAAACTACTGAGTTATCTAATATTCATTTCAAAGTATTCCTATATTTTTATCCATTTATTTCGTCAGTATGAAGCGTGCAGTGTGTCCTACCTTAGCCCTGTTTTTTTTAAATTGTATGGCTTCTTTGAAGAATTAATTATATTGATTACATTTAATTGTTATCTTTTCTTGTAAAGGTGATTCCAAATGTTCAGCTCCTGACAGTAGAACATGGTGACCACAAACACTCTTACAACATCTCAATTCAAACTGGTATCTGGAGGGGCAGTGGAACCACAGCAAATGTTGCAATAGTACTGTTTGGCGAGAATGGATGCACCCCTCCAATTGTCTTATCACATAACTATCTGGACAAAAAGTTCTTTGCTCGAGGAAGCGTTAACAGTTTTACTCTCCATCTTACTGAATCTCTGGGCCCGTTGTTTAAAATTAAAATTTGGCACGACAATTCAGGAAATAGCCCTGCGTGGTTTTTTCATCAAGTACTGGTTACCTGCAATGCTACTAATGAAAAGTGGTATTTCCTAGGTAACCAATGGCTTGCTTTAAATAAAGGTGATGGTGAAATTGAAGTGGAGATTGCTTCCGCGGGAAAGAAAGAATCGTTGGCTTTTAGAAACCTTTTTTATTTTCGGAGTGCCAAAACTCTTAGCGAGAAGCATTTGTGGTTATCACTCTTTACGAAAGCACCTCATAACACTTTTACGCGGTGCCAACGCCTTTCTTGTTGCTTTTCAATATTGTTTGCCACAATGGTGACTAATGCGATGTTTTACAAACAGGGTGTTGGGATAGGAGACTCTTTTAAGATCGGTCCTTTTAAGTTATCTTGGACTCAGATTAAAATTGGACTTCAGAGTGGGCTGGTTTCAGTTCCCGTCAACGTTCTTGTTGTTGCGATATTTAGGAACATAAAGGCAGCGGCTTCAAATACCAGCAACGGGAGCAGTAAACAAAATGATCTAAATGAAAAATCAAGCGGATTTTTTCCTCATTATTTTGTTTATATTGGATGGGCTCTTTGCCTGACAATGTCCATTGTATCAGCAGCTTTCGTTGTTTTCTACAGCCTGATGTGGGGTAAGGAAGTAGCTAATCAGTGGCTTGCTTCAGTGATGATCTCCTTCTTTCAAGACGTCATTGTGATTCAGCCAATAAAAGTCGTAGTTTTAGTATCACTTCTGTCACTCATCTTAAGAAAGCCAGTAGAAAATGACGAAATCTATGGACAATGTCTCTCAAGCCACAGAGTAGACAAGGAATCCATTTTGCATCCACCGAAGGGTGAAGAGTTGCATAGGGTACGCTCATTGAGTGTTCTGAAAAGCAGACTTACGAAGGTGGTGATAGAGATCACCATATTTATTGTGTTCCTGTCTCTCTTGATGATGGTGTGTTACGGCAATCGTGACAGCACCAGATATCAGCTTACGAGGTCAATAAGGCTTGTCTTCACAGGATTTGAGAAGGTTTGTTTACATTTATATAGAATGATATAACTGTAACATATATATTTCCCTTTGGAGTAGCCTTGGTCATCATATTGACAACTGACAACAAGCCCCTTTTAGATTTCAACTAATATACCTTTTTTTCTCTTATACCAATGTTTTATATTGTTTCATAGCGGTTTATATAGTGACGCTAGTAGATGCTTAAATCTACAATGCATTGTTATATTTGTAATGACTAAGCCCACGATGATCCTAGTGCCAAATATGGTCATCAGCTGCGAAAGATTATCTGACAACTTTGACAAAAATAATCAAGCTTAGTATGTAATGTAACTGGGTCATCAGCGAACGAGCGTCAGACTCAGGAAACGTTCTTTTACGGTACGTGATCCGTTACCCAATAAGGGATCACTGGTCACAGTAATAGGAATGGCGATAATGATGATGGTGATAATGATATTAAACGCCGAGGAGGAAGTAAAGTAATTCACAGTCGTGAATTAAACAAATGTGATTTTCTGTACCTGAAACAATTTAAAGAAAAAATTCGGCATGCTAAATGAAGTTATACAGTAAAGCAAAAAAGAAGCCCTCGGATATTGAACAAAACTAAAGGGCAAGGTGTAAGTTATTAGTTTTCTTTCTTTGCAGGTAAATAGTACAGAGTCCTTCTGGAAGTGGGCTAAGGAACAACTCGTAGAAGGCCTTTTTAATGTCAAGTGGTATAATGGCAGGCCTTTCATCTACAAAGAGGGGTTTATCGGCAACAGAGAAGCTTTCATGGTAGGGATGCCAAGACTTCGACAAAAGAGAATCAAAATTGGTGAGGGCAAAGCGATGATTTTAGACCTGTACTATGTTTAAGTTTCCGTGGAAACTCTATTTCTCAACACGTTTGAAAAAAAGGTGACACCAAGTGTCTTCTTGCGAAAAATTTGTGTAAATAAGACAGAAAATAAATAATAGGTGTACTGTACCTCCCATTTCAATTTCAAAGCTTTAGTAGCTCATATCAACCCATAAACTACATCCCAATTGTCAATAAATATCTCCTATGTATCACAGGTGGCCCAAGCGTAATATGAGAGTTTGTATGGGAAATGAAACTTAGATGAAATAAATGAACTAAAAGCGGTAAAAGTTATCAATAAAGTGTAAGTATTGTTACCTGGTGTCGTTGTCTTTGTTTCAGTGCGAATTGAGTACTTTTACATCAATTGACCTGACAGTAATAATAAGAGACAAGGCAGAACAGAATCGCTAGATCGATCTTCAGAGCTGCTCAGAATCAGCTTCAAATTTCACGCGAAGAAAACAAACACACTTACATTTTGCACCGCTGAATCTACAATGTGATGCCTTAAGATCACCTTTCAGCAATCCGTTCTGGCAAACTTTGCGTCTGGATCGCATAACTCGATCGAAAAGATCAACTACAGTTCAACAATCGGCGTCATTTATCCATAACTGGTAAAAGTGTAACGTTTCGACCGTTTTGTTGCTCGGCGAGAGAGGGCGACATTTCTTCGTTAAGACAAATCTCTACGCACCCACATCCCAGCAAGGGTAAAAATTAAGGAATAATGTTTACATCAGCTGCTTGAAAACTCGGAGTTTTTTTAAAATTTTTCTCCTTGCTGGGAGGTAGAAGCGTAGAGATTTGTCGTAACGAAGAAATGTCACCCTCTCCCGGTGGGTTATTATTTGACGTTAGCGACCAGTCACCGCCAGCGACAAAACGGTTGAAATGTCACAATTTAACTAGACATGGATAAACGGCGCCGATTTTTGAACCATATTTGACCTTTTCGATCGAGTTAAGCGATTCAGACGCAAAATTTACCACAACGGATTGCAGAAAAGTGATCTTAAGGCAAAATGTAGTAGTAGTCAATTTATTTCTCTCTATAGGTTATACGGTCAAGTTATAGAAACAGGTAGTTCATTAGTTAAGAAATAACCTAAGAGAAAAAAGGGCAAAAATAGTAAAACTAATACATTGCCCTACGAGATGGAAAAATATAAAAGATTTCTAATTAAGTGGATACAACGGAGGAAAATAAATAAATTACATTAATTAAAATGCTAATACAGAAAACCAAAAAAAATAACAAACAATAATCAAATAAAATATAGCTGGTCTAAACACATGAATACACGAACACACACAGCGTGATATTAATCTAGGTGTTAAGTATATAAGTAGATGAGACAACTAAGTCAATCTAGCATTTATTTAATATTGTGATAAATAATGACTGAAGAGGGAATTCTTGAATAGTTTTTTAGTAGGCCTAGAACGGATAGAAATAGAAGATCGTTCCGAAAGTGTGCTCCGGAATTTTATAAAATCTAAGATTAAAGCCTTTAGAGTAGCGCTCCAAAGCTAAGAGCCGTTTATAAAGGGAATTAATCGTCGAGGTGTTATTTTCCATGTCCTGCTCAATCTTCTCAACCTTGCAATTGATGTCGTGAATTTCGCCATTTACTTTTTCAAATTTTACGGTAAGCGGATCTTGTTTTTTTTTTTTGACATTCCCTATAGTAAAGCGTCGTTTGAAGAGACTCTGGCTTTAAGCGAGTTCAACTCGCTCAACTTCTCATCTTTTGCGCTCTTGATGGCATTTACACTCTTCTGGAGCGAACCAAGTGTTACCCGAACAAACGTCTCAAAGTCTTGTTCTTCGCCTTTCTTATTCTTTGCTTTCGTGCTCATACGTCTAAGTGACATTAACGACATAAATACATAAAGAGAACAAAAATGTATAAAGCCTAGCCATTGGAAATTTCGTATTCCACGGAGTTAAAATGCTAGCGGCCCTCTTGCTGCCGCGCTACCCAAAATGTAAGTGTGTTTGTTTTTCCGCGTGAAATTTGGAGCTGATTCTGAGCAGCTCTGTCGGTCGATCGAGCGATTCTGTCCGGCCTTGTCTCGTATTATTACATTGTCAGGTCAGATGATGTAAAAGTACTCAAATCGCGCTGAAACTTCGTAAAGGCAAAGACAACGACACCAGGTAACAATATTTACACTTTATTGATAACTTTTACCGCTTTTAGTTCATTTATTTCAAGTTTCAAACTTCTTATTGCCCATACAAACTCTCATATTACGCTTGGGCCACCTGTGCTATATATCAGCCGATTTCTACCAAATTCGCAGTAAATGTGTCTCAAAGATGAAGGAACATTTACTGAAATGGACAAGTGTCAAGGTAAAATTGTCTTGTTAAAAATAATTAATAGAAAAAAAATAGCGAGGGGGTTGCATCCAACCCTACCTCCCCCCACTGTAAGTCCAAGGGTCAAGTGAACTTAAAAACTATTTTTGTAGCTAAACTTTTTTGTTTGCAGTGAAATTTGAATGGCTCCCTTGTCCCTTGCATGCCCAAGAATAATCCTCCAAGTCATTTTTTTTTGTTGTCAGATCCCAGTTGTCAAGTCATGGTTGTTGAGCCTTCACTTGTGCAATTGTTTCCCAGATGCATCCAATACTACAGTGAAAAGAACGAAGATATGACCAAGTATCACAAGCCCAAATGGATTCCAATCTATAATGAAAGTCATTTTGAATCCCTTTTCCAACGGTCATTCCTCTGTCCAAGACCCTGGCGTTATGAAACTGCCGAGCAGTTGCGTACATTGTCATTTCAGGGCTTGTATTCAGTGTACTCCGGTGGCGGTTACGTAGCTGATCTTGGCTATAATCGAGAGGATGCTCAGCAGGTGATTGACAGCTTGGAAATCAACAATTGGATCGATAACATTACAGCTGCTGTATTTATTGAATTCACCGTGTATGAGCCGGCAACCTCTTTATTCTGTGCCATTAAGATGTTATTCGAACGATTTCCAAACGGAGGTACGAACACGGTTTCACAGTTTAAAACGTTGACAGTCTACTCTCCTCAAGATCCTAACTTTCGAGGAGCCTATGAGACATGTCAATTACTCTTCATGCTATTTATCCTAGTATGCGTGGGCATCGAAGTTGTTAAGATTTACCAGAGTGGTTTTAAGTATTTCAAAGATCCATGGAGCTGGTTGGAGATCGTTCTTCTAGGAAGCTCGGTTCTATCATTAGCTGTGTTCTTCTTAAAAGAATTTTACACCAGCAAATTCATCTTAAAGGTTAAAGAGAACCCATTTCAAAGCTGGAGCACAGACGACATTGCCTTGTGGTCTGACACCGAAGTGTTTTTGCTGTCATTTGTTGTATTTTTAGTGACAATGAAGCTTTTAAGAATTATTCGATTTAATTCGCATATTATTCAAATGCGAATGACACTCAGTAGCGCCGCCAAGTTCTTCTGGTCTTTTACCGCTGTGTTTATGACGATAATTATTGCCTATGTCATGCTTACTACACTTACTTTTGGCAGAAGCGTTGAACAATACCACTCATTCTTGCGTTCATTCAGCTCCGTTCTGCTCATGCTCATTGGCGCCAAAGCGCCATTTCATAAACTGCGAACTATTAGTATTTTTATTGGACCATTTTTCGTGTTTGCATACATGGTCACCATTGTTATGATATTCCTTAACATGTTTCTAGCGATACTTAATGACGCCTACACAGAGTCCCGCGAACAGGGACAAGAGGGACTTCAGGATTTAAAGATTTCAAAACTCTTGAAGAAGAAAGCCAAGAAAACAGTCATGGGAACTAAGGAGGTCGTAATTAAAGTTATTCAAGCAGTCCCAAAATTTGCGTGGCTTAAACAGTCAAAAACTTTTGTAGCGTTTGAAAATGAGGAATGGAATGGACCTGACGCAGTGGAAGAAGACTCTGCATCTAACGATGGTGATAATATAACTTTAAGAGACATAATGGTATTGCTTAAAAGTATAAAGAATGACATCAGTGACTCTGTTCTGTCCCTTGATGATATTGTTCCTGTGGTAACTATTCATGATCCAGATGAAAAATGGACCTACCGACAATGCTATTCTGATGACGAAGATGGACAGTTTTACTCATGCTCATCTTTATTTAGGAGCGAATCAAACAGGCAACTCTGCTTGAAGTCTGACAAAAACAGGCTGTTTAGATATGATCATCTCATTATGGATGAGTGGAACAGAAGAAACAAATTAGTTGGTGAAACGTTCGTCTAACAAGTTATTCGTAGTAAAATCAAATCATTTCCAGCCCCTGGTCGCTGAAGAATGGCATTTGTTATTGTTCATTTTTTTTTTTTTCAGTCGCCATCAACTATGCTTTCATGAGTATGCAATGAATATGAACTGAAACGCCTTAATTTCCATTGTGTCCCATAATGTTACTTGTGTGAGTGACGAAACAATCCCCTGATTTCATGCACATTTTTTTTTTCCAGAACTGGAGAAAACTAGCTTTATTAATACTCATATTTCATAGTTATGTTACTTATCTTCGACCGTATCCGCAGACTAAGCCGTTTTAGTAGGCAATGGCCACCAGTTATCTAAACAAAAAGTGAAAGAAACAATAATAATGAAAAGAAAAATAATACACCTACTCTGAAGTAAGGTGTTTTGTCTTAGCTTCTTAGGTTAGTTATAAATAAAGAGCTACTTGTTGGATAGAAATATTATGAGGATTCAACTGAATTTGGAGAGCTTTATCTTGGGGTATTATGATCGTGACAAATCAGGTTCAGATTTGATATAAGAGCAAATTTTATCGCGTATGTTTATGTGGTCTTAAAAGGCTAATATGGCATCTTTAGAGCGATGCAAGGAGTAAGGCCACATTTATATGGAGAAAACCTGTCCCAGGAAGAGTGGTCATCCTCCAAGCCAAGTCAAATTTTGCGAGCGTTTATATTAGGAAAAAAGTTAACCTTTTTCCCCAAGCCCACAACGCCCGCGCATGCTCTGATTGTCTCGCCTTGACCAAATTCACCCGGTTGGGCGTTTCAAGAAGTTTATATGGGGAAGTTTTCTCTGCTAGGAGGGTGACAGTACCATCATAAAAAGAGTGACCCTGCTGGGCGGGCGTCTTTTTGTTTCTCATGTAAAAGGTTTGTAAGGAAATGAAAAGTTGGCTCGCCTAAGGTGCATTGTAGCTCGAGTTGGCGGGCAATCGTTCTACCCGGACACCTTTTTCATCTTATGCACGGGGCCTTTGTGTTGAAAAGGCGCTGTGAGTTAGGTATGGGTAATACAGTCATAGTTATATCTATGTTGTTTCTAAAGTATAACAAAAGAAATGCCCCCTTTACGATTACGCCATGTCCAGTTTACGATTACGCTTGCCTGTCTCATACCGTCGGCTCCGCGTGTTACCTTGGTGCACTAGCTTTTGATGCATGGAAAGTTTTTGCTCGTAAACTGGCATGATTGTTGTCTTCTACACAGGTTTCGAGAATAGCAGTGTTTCACCATAGGTTAGGTCTCTTAGTAAAACTACCAGAACACTTCAGCGATCTCTTTCTATCATAAATTGCGCTTTTTGTTTTACAACACATGCTAGCTTGGAATATCAGAGAAAGGAAAATAAAATGCATTCTGGTTGTTGCCATAAGACAATACACGTGACGAAACTGTATTTGTTTTTCAGCGAGCACTTTTTTGCCGAAAGATTACAGAATTCATGGAATACTGAACGATACAGCTAAGTTCATGCCCAATAAATCTATTAGGTATCATCAATATCTGATTAAAAGAGGGTTTAACTGGTTACCTTTTATAAAGAAAATCTCGGTGTTTAAATTTTAGTAACCCTCCCCCCCCCCTCCATCCATCTCAATAATAAAAGAAAATCTTTTTAGCTTCCCCCGATGAGGAATTCGAGGAGACTTTCTAATCATGAATAATTATGAATATCGTTATTGCTATTGTTATTGCTATTGGTTTTAGATATGACAGCAGTTTATGTTTTGACTGAGACCCTACAGGATACCCAGAGACGAAGTGCAGAATGGAACCTGGAGCCTTTCCCATTTATTAATACCTGTGAGCCATTATATTATACATTTTTAATTTAATAGGAACGCATCACTGGTCACTGCAGTACATGTGCCAGCAATTTATGCGCAATATGCTTGGTTTCTTTTCAAACTTTGTTGTTATTCCTAAATCACTTTCTGTCATTACGAATTTTCAGAGACCATACTGGGATATGCCAGTTGATAGTTGTTAACCATAACGTTTTTGACCCACCCTCTTCCAAGAAAAACAAGTTTCTTAGTTTTTACATGCATATATCAAGGTATAGAATTTGCAGCCAAGTTTTAATCCCTTAAGTGGTCTAATTCAGTGCACTCCAAGAAAAACAGACAGAATATGCACCTTGACAGCTGGTGTGTTTCACACATTGACAGTGAATTCTGGGACAGGGAGGGTGTTTCCATTTAGAATAAGTGAAAGCTAAAGAATGATTGAAGGAGGTATGGAGTTTCTGTTATAAAAACAAAAAAAAAAACAGTAAAGGAAGATATTTTACCAATACTGTGCTGTTTTAATCAAACCAAGAAGCAACATTATCAGTTGTTGTTGGCCAGAAGGTGTCACATGTGTAACATTAAAATACTAGCAGGTACTGATATGACGTCACTGGGTTTTTTTTCTTTAAAGACAATTTGTCAAAGAAGTGAGTTTATTTCCTCCAAGAAAAGTGGACGAGAAGACGCTGATATAAATCCTGGCTGCCTAAAGCGATTCCCAGGTAAGACTTCATTTTTGCTGCACATATTTTATTCTTTATAACCCTCCCATTACAATCGTTCACTTGCCTTGAAAAGAATTTTGATCTCTATTTAATTTTCTTATCCTTCTTTATTCACGTTCAAACGGGATTTTTGACTTTCTGTTTATTGCTTTCTTTAATTGTTATCTCTCTTTAAATTTAGTGACAGCTTCTAGGGAGGACCTGAATAACTAATATTCCTCTTTAACAGACGCTTCGATTCAGGTTTCTGGCAATGCGACATGATGACCAAAATAGCACGGCAGGGGTATTCTGATTACAGATAACAATTCAAATATATAAGCTTTTTGTAAGCGTTTATTTACTGGACTAGCGTTCCATTTGCAATATAAGAATACATCTTCAGGTTGGCAAAATGCTTTCAAAAGATGTTTAGCACATCTACTGATTCGCTGATATAATCCAACACACGCGCAACTGTCTAGTTGAAGTAAATGACTTGCTAGTACAATTTATATTAATTACTTTAATTTTTCTCAGGAAATGAATTTCAGGTTTGCCTTGACCCTCGCACTTAAGATTAAAAATTAAAAAAAAAATACAAAAATAAAAAAGAAAGGAAAACCTATCTTAATGTATTTCTTTTTTTCGAAAGTGTCAGAGCTTACTGCATCATTTAAAAGACTGAGTTACTTTTGTTTTCAAAACAACCTCAAAGATCATGGATTGATGTTAGTTTAATTTTGCCGAATCAAGAGAGAGAAAGAAATCGACTGTATAGCGTGGCTTCCTTGGAATTTGAGTGGAACGTGCCGAAAAAAAATACCCTTCAATTTACAGGAATTGTTGAATTATGAAACAGGTTTTTGTTTAATTACGTTTTTTTTGCTGAAATGTGTTTTCGTTTTTCTTCTGGGTTTTCTGTTTCAGCCAAATCCGTAGTTTAACTTTAGAAGGCCAACGTTTTGCATCCAGGGAATACTTGAACAAAATAAAGTCCTTGTGGTTACACAGTTTTGCGTTTTTTGGCAAGGTTTAATTACACATTCACTCGAAAAAGACGTAGCCTAAAAGCCATTAAGACCACTCTAATCGTCCTTGTTGTACAAAACAATGTTTGCTCGTAAAAAGCTTCATCTCTTTATGTAGCCTCCTTTACTCTTAGCATCAGAGTAGCAGTAACTACCTAACGCAAACTTTGGTTTCCAAAGAGAGTGTACTTTATTGTTTTTCAACATTCTCTTGGCAGCGGCACCTTTTTGCATTTCATTATATAAGGCATTTATTTGTTAATAGAAAGGAGCGTAGGCTGCAGATTCCTCTTTGCAAGTTCTAAAACACTTAGAAATTTTATTAAGCCCTTTCCAATTTGCACTTAAAATTCCTTTTTTTCCTAGGGCTATTGAAAATGCGTTTTATTTTTTGCCTTATCGGAACTTAATCCAGAGAATATTATTACATCTATCCTAACTGAAGGCTTAGTTACTAGTGCTGGCATTGACTGTTAAAAATGGGAACGACAGTTTGCGAAGGAAATAAGCAGTGCCGAGGTATATGTAAGCTATCATCGAAGGACTTCCCGCTTTTTTTTATTATCTGTTTTATCATTATTTAACTTGGTGGAAATAAATTTTGAATAGGTATTTGAATTTTAATTTTTTTTTCTGGCAAAATTCATAACACCCAAACTGTTCGTGTATGAATATAAATTGACTAATTAATGCCTGCCGGTGGTGTTTTGAAGCCATTTATTAATATTTGGTGCTATCATTCGTGTAAAATCTAGATTATTTTAATGAAAGAATCCTTTTGTGATAACGACATAGGGCTTTGGTGGGGTATCGTACGACAGTAACAGAAAAGCTGGTATGTACTTTTTAATGACCACAGGTTATGAAGATAGAATTGCAATTTAGTGCCAGCAAACAATATAATTCTCAGTTGTAACTTGAGTCAGTCTTCCATGATCAAAAACAAGCACTACGTCAATAGTACTGCACAACAGCTGCTTTTGTCTGAAACGTGCGTAGTGTAAGGATTTCATATTATGTACAATTATACACCTTTACATTTACATGTAATACCATACCATGAATTTGATGATTGTCACTTACGACTTATTACTGTGGAGCCAGAGCTGACACCATGGGAAATTCTTTTTTATTCGAGCAGACATGACAAATTGACGTCAAGAAAATGGGAGTGGGTTGTTCTGAAAAAATAAAAATAAAAAAACTTTAATAAATACATTTTTGAATGTTATGAATGACAAAACTGAATATAATGCCCAGAGAGATATGAATGCTTGAGCAATTTAAAGAACTTTGAGGCTGTTTCCCCCCGTTTCCCACTGAATAAAAGAAAAGAGAAACCAGGCACGTAATCTTTAACCCTTTACTAACAGATGCACCGCAAAATGGAGTGTAACTATGTTATTGAATGGTATATGGCTGATTCTCTGTCCGTAGGTTGGCATTACATATCATCATGAATAATAAACTTTCACATCACTGCCGGCAATATAAATCTCTTTTCTCTTTAGACGCTCAAGGAGCTAAAAACTTTACTGTTGCGGTAATTGCCTTCTGTATACTTGTCAGTAGAATCCATCATGGCTTATAATGTATAAAGTCACGTATTAAGTTCTGAATATCTTTGAGTTTCGTTAAAAATGCATGTCAGCGTTTTAAAAGGCGACAATAATACATTAGGAGATAAACCAAACTGATACAATACATTTTTCTTTCGTTATATTCCGCCTCAGGAGTCTTTTTTTTATTGTTGGGAATGCGAAAATGCCTCGTTTTTTGCTCGCAGCGGTTTTTTTTTAGTGAGTGTTATCGAATTCCTATCTATCACCTCTCAACTGTCAGGAACGGCGCTTATATTAAAACCCACGCTGCTTCCATTCATTAACACATCAATAACTAAAATGACTCTTTTTGCTTGAAACAGACAGCTTTTAGTGCGATTTGTTTTAATCAAGAATCGTAACTTCACTGAAAAAGCAATTAATGCGCTCGATCTATGTATTGACGTCTGCGAAGACATTGAAACCAACCTTATTATGGATACACTCGCGTATTTGGCTTAACATATCAAGGTGCACGTAATAGCTGCAATATTTTGGCCTATCCAAATACGAAATTAGTTACAGGGCAACACAATTCATACAGCCCCTGCCTGAACAAAGCATCATAATCACTTGGTTCCTACCGGAAGATATCATGACCTTCCGATTCAGGAACAACATATATATCATTAGTTTTTAATCTTGTTTCTCTCCTTAACACGACTCATTAACTTTATGTGGTGCGTACACGATTCTGTGGTGTGTGGATAAAGAGGCGCGGGTAAAAATTAAAGAACTAGTAAGATAATCAAGGTTGACCACCAAATTGATTTACATTCTCAGCCGTTGTTAGCCCATTTCATGCCGGTTTTATTATCTATTACATAGATATGAACTGACACATCATATAATTTCTGTTACACCCATACAAGTTTAAGCCACCGAAACGTTCACATGTCCCTTTTGCACCAGACTGTTCAATACCTGGATATGAGTACTTTAATAACTTGTTTTTGTACGGCGGAGTAACATTAAATTTTCTCATCGGCAAATTAAAAGTGAACCGCAAATTTGTAAGTTTCAGGAGAGAAATAATATCAAAAATGTCGATAATCATCGAGGTAAGGTAAACATGATAGATCAAGACTTAGTTCACGAATAAACGTATTTTCTTTTACTTTAGGAAGATCTTATACAGGTCCAGGCCAGGAGAAGTGATTGATGAGTCTGGAACAACCATGTATTTCTACTGTTTATGGATTCTGTTACTCGTACCCTTTATTGACGGAAGCAATTGTTCAGGTACATAACGAAAAATTCCTACTTTTCGGGGTTATATTGAAGATCGAAGATCAGGCAATACAGGCGTGTGATTCCTTTTTTTCTGAATTGACGCTGTTTTCAAGGTTAAAAATTCAGATCAGCGAACGTTAAATGTATTTGGAACTGAAAGTGATCTTCTTCAACCTCAAAACAACATTGTTATGGGTCAATACGATAAATTCAGACGAGGACTGAATAATTGAGAATGAGTATTGATGAACGTCTTAGAGAGTACGGCCATACAAAACCCTTTACGACAAGTTCCCATGAAAACCGCGAAGATACAACTTGAAAGGTAAGAATAGTCGCAGATTCATTTACAAAGATAAAGGTACTACTGAATAAAATGGATTTAAAGAAACAGCAGCACATGTTAGTGATTTAAAGACACCGGATGTTCGTTTTTTATTGGTCTCTCAAGCGTCGATATTTTTTAAGTGTCCACTCCAACTTTCCTTGTTGGTTTTCGTCAAAGCAATTTGGGCACTTTGGTGTCTGCGAGAGGTCTCAATGAGGTGTCCCTGCCTCACTGATCCTGAGGTAAGAACGGTCATTAAATAGAGGCCAAAAGTAATGAGTAAAAGTCACTTATCAGCAGCCACGAAACTGTTTTAATCATCTAAACGATTGCTTTCCTTGTAACAGACAACTGCAACGAAGCACTTGGTATGGAAGACTACAGTATTGAGGACTATCAGATTTTCGGTGGCACTGCGTACGATGGCGATTACGCCAGTTACGGTTCTCAGAATGCGAGACTGCACAGTTCTTTTGGATACAGAGCAGAACCATCGGCTGATACAGCAAGGGACATAATAGTAATCACATTGAACGAGGAGATGGTAATTACTGGAATAGCCACACAAGGGTATGGTGGACCTGGCGTTCTGGAATGGGTTACGGGCTTTTATTTGTTTTATACGTCTTTTGAAGGAATCCGACTGCCTGTCATAAACGCCAATGGACGAGAAATGGTAAGATAAGAGAAACAGGCTTGCTTTTACTTTAATATATCATTATCATCATCATTGTTATTTTAATATTTTAGGAGGACTTCCATGTTGAAAGATTTGGAAGACAATTTGCAGAGGCTTATTGTATTCCCTTTTTAAGTTCCGGATCGATAGTGAGCTTCCAAGAATAACATATCGTAACTTGTAGCAATATTTAAGAAAAAAGAGTTTTAGATCTAGGTGAAAATGGATCTTGCAGAAGGTCACAATGCTGTCTTTTATTTCGTTAACATCCAAATTATCCCTACTGATTATAGATTTTTTACTATGATAAATAAGATCTATAGTAGTATAAAGAAAAATTATGCTCAGCGTTGCACATGTCAACACCTGAGTTCTTGCATTCTCAGTTTCCATTTTTTCCGTCTCTATTTAAAAAAAAAAAAGAAAGAACAATAACATACATCTTTTAGTGGTTTTACAACAGTTCTTCTACAAATTTTATATTTATAAAAACATATATTATCACTTGAAGAATAAACACAGTTCAGCTCTTCGTCTAAAAAAGGAAAACAATGGTTGGTTGTTCCCCTTTGGAAATTTCCACCATGGATGAATTTTCTTTGTGTTTTATCCGAAATTTCGAAAAGCATTTAGAAAGGTTAGAGCTCTTTCTCCAGAGGAATTTCTGTTATTATACAAACAACATTATCTGACCATACTTTTATTCTATTTTCTCTTCTTCTTAGTTCTTCATTGGCAATGCAGACAGCAACACCATCAAGAGAAATGATTTGCCTATCCCTGTTCTTGCATCTACGGTGTACATTAAGCCTATCACTAAACACAAGAACGTTGGTTTGAGATTGGAGCTTTATGGGTGTAAAGGAGGTATAATATTAAGAACTATTAGCTTAATTCAGCTAAAGTTTGTAAATCAAAGAAACTGCACAAAACGTCAGACACTTGACTTCACTTACCCTACGATCATCAATACAACTATATATATCATGACTTCTGGGTTACACGTTTAAATCATTTGGTTTTTTACAGAAAAATATAACTTTTGACAATAAATTTCTTCAATGGTTGTAATTAATAGGTCAATTGCTTAAAATATGCCAACTCTATTTTCAAAATTCAACGAACAGCGAGGAAAAAAACCGCAATGGCTCACAGATACGACTTTCAATATTTCAGGGCATTATTTTATTGTCTGGTTGATGATGAAAAATACATATTTCACTGTATTGTATACCAATCCTACGAGCGATGAATATAAAGAGGCCACCAAAAGAATCATATACGAGGTAGGTTTATCGACTGTTGTTGACGTTCTCTGACATTATATTGTTACTGAATGTTCTGGAAGACGAATGATGAATAATTTTCAAGTATTCACGTAATTCAATGTTCATATTCATAAAGAGCACTTCTAAAAATATATTTAATAAGCAACTGGGATCAAAGATATTTATGACTACATATATGTGTGGATATTCTTAAGTTACTGTAATTACTGAAAGGATGAGCGGTATTGAAAGAAACAGTACATTAACTGAAGAGTTGAAAAACGTTCAAGAACTACTATTTGTTGTGATTTTTTTCCTAGTACCATTTAAGAGAAAACATACCCGAAAACCCCAGATCAATTGTAATAACTCGAGCGGTCGCATCTAGAAGATATGAAAGGAGTAACTGAGCTTAAACATCATCTTTTCCTTCTTCACAACAGGTAAATGACATTTTAGGTACAACCTGGGGATTTCTTTTCGCCAAAGTAAAAGAACTGAGGTAAAGACAAAATAAATTGTTGGTTTTTACTGTTAGCGCCCAACTTATCTTACAATTTATGTAACGTATTGAATGAATGGAGAAAAAATAGAGTGTACTACCGTGGCAACAAAACTTAAATAAATGATGTGAAATAACAACTCTTTACTTTCTTTACCGTTACGTTACTTTTTTGAAAAGCTGGAAAGTAAATTCTTTGAGGGAGGGGGTGGGCGGTGCTTCAGAGACTCTTGGAATAGTTCTAAAATACTCGCCTTTCATTTTTAAATAAGAATGAGTAACTAAAAGCAAAGAAAGGGCCACGTCGCTCATTTAACAGATCAATTGTCAATAGGATAAATAACTCCATCCTTTTTCGTGGGAAATTTCCAGTTTATGGTGCTTCCATGACATTTTGATAAACAAAGATCAATACTATTATGGTATTGGAGAGTCATCGTAGAAGAAAGGTCACTTGTCATCGGTAATCATACTTTGCGTATTATTTAGTCGACCTACATTTGTGAGTTCTTGTTTCAAGTTCATCAAGGGTAGCAAACCTTGTCAAATTAGTAGCCTGAGAAGGCGTTGGGTGCGTTCTTTGGTAAAATACAAATCCGGATTATAAAAACCAGGAACGAATTTTGCTTTCTTTTACTTAAATTTAAAATGGCAGTTTTTCAGTGAAAATATTACACCCACTCAGTTCTCTTCGGTTCGCGACATTTATGATGTACCGAGAAAAATTCGTTACTCTTTCATTATCCTTCCCTTATATTAGCGAAAAAGTTTTGACCGCTGATATTTAATTATAAGTCACTTGACGGACCCTATTATTGTCACAAATTACTTAGCCTATCGAGCCAAATTTGCAGTTTATTTTTCAGGTTATTAGCAAATAGTAAATAGCGTTGATAAAAGATGCATACATTTAATTAGGTAGTTATCCCGCGAGGGGCCTGCGTGCTTGTACTTTTTGTACTATTTTTAATGAATTGAACTCCGCCCTTTTAAAAAATAATATTTTGGACTTAGAAGATGGTATAATAATCAATTTTCAGCCCACAAAAATCACCAACCTCCAGCACAATGGTCACAGCAATAGTGGAAATACATTGTTTGCGATCCAGCGAACAGTTGTTGGTAGCAAAACTCAGGTCCGCAGTGGAAAAGGAGCAATCAATATTTGAGGCTAACTTCTTTAAGCTGCAATATCCAAGTAAGAATTCTAAGCGTAACAGTAAATCCTAAGGATGTTACTGCAACAGGGGACGGAAAACGAGTAACGAGCAAGAGGAACAAGAAAGTGAAAAATGGGAACAAAACATCGAATAGTTAATGTACTTATTAACAGAATCAGGGTCTAAGTTAGGTCCCAGTTTTCATTTTCCCGCTCCCCGTTCTCGTTGCCTTTTCCCTAGCCTGTTAGCTGTTTAGAGTAGATAAATGTGGCCAAAATAAAGAAATCGCAATAAAAACAAAGCCATTGTTGAGATACTATTACAATATTATTGTTATTGTTGTTATCACTTATTATTGTTATCACGTTCTTAGGCATGATGAATGACATTGGCATTGACAACAGGCAGCAACTTTATATAATCAAGAAAATGATAAATGGAGCCATTAGAGCAACATTACATCTTTGGTTGTAGAAATAGGAATTGGAATAGACTTTTGTTTTGCTTTGTTTGTTAGTTTCTTTCTTTTTGAATAATTCAATATCAAGCAGCATTTGTAAATTGCCTTTACGTGGCGAGATTTTCAATTGTACTTTCAAAAACACAAATAAAGTTTCCATTATTATTACAGCATTTGTCTGCTGATGTACATTGTACTTTCCTGGTTGTAGGGCTGATTTAAGTCTAATTCTGAACATGAAAACGATTTGCTTCATTAGTATTTATTTGTAGTGTTTCCGTCTTTCGATCTTCCTTTTTATTTAATTACCAATAATCACGTTATATTATCGCTTGCAAAATATTTATCAGAGAACTTATCTTTTTGCAGAAAGATGCGAATGTACTCCAGTTGAAGCTGAGTTGAACCTTGGTAGAAATATGACAAGTGCGAAGGAAATTTTTCGTTCAAAAAGAGGCCTGATGTATTATGCGATCAAAGTAAAACAGACTTGTTTACAAAATGGTGTGTTTTATTCATGGCAGATATCACAAGTTGACAAGGAAACTGGTTATTTTGGCCCGATGCAAAACTTTGGAAATGGAGAGAGACTCATATTGCTACCCAATCGCTTTGATCTTGGCTATCTTTATGTACAGTGTATTGTTGAAATAAGAGGTGATACTAATTCAATGGCTTACGATTATGGCTAAATAAAAATAGTTGAGCCGCTCATAGCCATTATAACTGATCTAACACATCAGTCACGTTTATCAACTGAAATAAAACTAAGCGCTAATCAGTCTTATGATTCTAGAGAAAGATCGATGGGCTTTATTGGCATAAGCTTTACATGGTTCTGTAGATTGGAAAATGAATTGTTTCCGGATTCTACTGTAGAACATGTTGTGGACGTAGCACGCGGAAGGGAGGCAGGTCACCGTGGCTGTTATGGATATGGGCCTGGCAGGCTTACCCCAAGGGATGTATTGTTAAACTTGGATACGAGAAATATGTTGAAAAGCAAGAAATACATCTTTAAGCTTCTTGTGGCTAAAGACGATAAAAGTGCGAGTGCCGAGTACGAGTTTAAAGTCAGACCACAGCAAGTTGTTGTTTCTGTAAGGTAAGGACTCCTGGGAACTTAGAGGGGAACATTTTGAAGTAAAGTTAAGCTCGTAATTATTTTTCAAACTTTTTTTTGATCTATTGTGGCTGTAACCCTGCTAGCACTTTTTTTTTCAGGTCTCGAGACTTTCTGTAAAATAAAGATCAATGGAGTGAACCAACAATGCAAATTTTTCAAACTTCGGAAAAGACAACCAATACGTTTAAAGCAGACATCTGCTTATTGTACTTAACTGTAAATAAGCCTGCTTTGAATAAATCCAATTCATTTTTTCCGTCAGTCATTGAAAACCAATTAGATAATCCCTATTCCCGATAATTTTGGACTAGTGATATCACAGCAGTCCGCGTTGTGTAATAAAGATTGTAAAAAAAGGCAGTTATGAGGTGACTGTCCTACTTTAAGTTTGTGATTTTGAAAGCGAAGAGTTTAAGGCTGCGTTCAAATGGCACCGGACGAATTTCAGACCGGATGAAAAATTTAACCGGACACTTCATTGGCACCGAACCGTGTTATTGGCGAGCCAGGTTGAATTTTCACGTTTATCCCATGCACAGAGCAAATCAAAATGGCGTCTTCTTTGGGCACTACGCATCCTTGTGTTACCAGTCCTTTTTGGTACGAAAATTTAGACGGTTATGGTTTTCAAAACGTGCTGGCCTTTTTTCAACCCAATCGGCTTAAAATTTGACCTCTTTTTTGGCATTTAAATTTTTGAATGGCGAGGCGTCTAAATTTTTGTACGATTACGGTGGATCCGAGAGAACAAAACACCGAAAGATGCGAATTTTCAACCAGTCGAGATTTCGCGGTCCCGGTGCTGTGTTTACGTAGCCTCAATCTTTTCGTCAGAAAGGGAAATTAGTTACGAAGGACGTTTTGTCTATTTTTCGTTTGTTTTTTTTTTCTAGGTGTATCTCAAATTGTGGAGCAAAGGTGAGTCCTCAAGATGGACTCAGTCTGGAGGCCATTTGTTACGGAGAACTTTGCAAAAAAACGTCCAGTTATAAATGGAGTTTGCATTTAGTTAATTTCTCTCGGGATACTTTCTCCATTTTGGACGTCTCCGATGCAGGAGTCAAACCATCAAAGAGCAAAAATCATGTTTTGATTAATATTTCCAAATTAGACCGTGACACTGCAAGAAAGCGTTTATATTACCTGGTTAAAGCTGTGATCCATCTTAACGACCATATAGAAGTCGAAGGAAACTTTTCTTTCGTGGTCAACTCACCACCCCAGAGGATGACATCGGAAGCTTTCTGTGACGTAAATCCATCGGAAGGAGAGGCTGTTTCAACTCACTTCAGAATCAGGTGTTTAGGATGGTATGATGAAGATCAACCGCTGACATACCTATTTAGATATGGAGGAAAACATGACATGATCGTCATTCAAACCGGACAGTTAAACAATGTTAGTACAAAACTTCCAATCGGAGATCCTGACAAGGATTACACTCTGGTGTTGGAGGCACTTGTTGGAGACTCTTTCAAGGATTTTACCATAACCACACTGACAGTTAAGGTAGGAAACTTTTGTGGCCCTCTTCATATCATTGTCGAATACGTTTGGACTTGTTTTACAGAATACAACTACTCTTTTTTTAATTAAGTCTTCTCATTGTTCAAGTGTCTGCACTAAAGGGCCCCACAGGTAAGGCCGGCCAACTGCCCGGGCCAACTTTTCTTTTTCGTCAATTTTTTTTTTGTCCTTCTTGGAAGATGCGAACTGGATCAACAAGCGTATTTAAAGGCATTTATCATTCTCATATGACTATTTTCCTATTTCGTTTTATTCAATTAGGCGTTGTAACCCATTAAATTAAAATCTGTAGAGTTTGGCCCTAAATGTCGACGTCAGTACTGTGGGGGTGTGTTCGAGCTAAGCAAAAATTCTGGTGACTTCTCTCCCGAGCAGCTGCTACATGACCCAAAATTTAGGTACAAGTAAAAACACAAGATGAAAACAGGAAAACACCTATGTGGAAAAATCAAGACTGACCTTGAACCACTTAATGAAACAAAAACGAAACTTAAAAGAAAAGACAAATCCTAAAAAAAGATAATAACTTTCAAAATACTTCACAACAGTACTAATGAGAGGATATACAGGATATTTGACAATACTTTTTTTTATCGTGGGTGCGATTATTTCAAAGAACTTACTGCAATATTTCACACCAAAGCAAGCTCTGAGTTAAGACATTCTATTGTTTATATTATATGATTTTCTCTTTTCTAGGTGCGTCCACCGAAGCCATCTGAACTTAACGACCAATTTGTTGACCACCAACTTACTACCATTCGTAGTTTCATTGAAGCTGGTGATGCTAACAGAGCAACTGAACTTGCTATTATGTTAATGTCAGCTGTGAAAAGCTTTGAACACGAGACGTATAACAAAATGGCAGTAAGTTATTAAATATTTTCATTGCAATAGATAGACTCCTAGGTTAGATAATTTCAATTACTTAATATCAAAGTGTTAATTTTTATGGTTTTTCTGATAGGGCGATATCCTTCTATACATGATTGACATTAATGTCACAAGCATTGCCCACGTAACTCAAGTCGCTGCTGTTGTTCTCTGGGCGACCGAAAAGAAAACCACAATTTCGCAGAAAATACAAGTAAGTTGAAGTTGTAGTATAGTATCCATGAATTACCGTTGAAATGTCCGAATAAGGGTATAACCCGTACTAATTAAAATAAGTTGTAATTTATCTAACAAGTTATACTAATCAGAAGGGCAACAAACTCTCATAGAACATGACCTAACCTACCTTACAAACCAAGAAACGGACTAAAGCATTCAAAGTATGATCTTGAAAAAACTATGAAAATATAACTATCAACACTAAAATGTTGATCTCGAAACTAATCTCGAAAAGTTGTAAAATGACAGTTTAAACAAATTAATAAAATCTGGAAAAAAATATTTCTTTGTCCCCTGCTGTAGCTTTTATCAGAGTTTTGGAAACATCAAATAACTTGCAAGTAATCAAGACGAGTTTTGCCTTCTTACAGAAAATTCAATGAGAGAACATCTATAATCCCCTTGAGGCTTCACAAGTCTTCTGTAGTAAACGGAAAAATCGTCTTGACTTGATAGTTTTTATCATAACTCCGATCGATAACTCCGGCTATATATAGCATTAATGTCTCTGTTCCTTCGCGATGCATGTTAAACGCATAACTAAATTATAAAAACAAATAATGACAAGTTGGCGTTAATGGGGGAGCACTGCCTTGCGCTAGGTTAGCCTAATGCGACTTCCGGCGATGGCGTGACCAAAGAACCTCACTTATCTCCCCAGCACTACGAGCTGAATGCAGTACAGCACGTGCTGGATCGGACAAGAGTATCGGTTTGCAGGTGATATTAAACGGCAACGCGGCCAACAATCTTGGGGGAAGTCGCTGCGCAGAGTTAACCGCACCGCGCAGGAGTGTCCCTAGTTTATTTGACCGCATAGCACAAAACAAAGCCCAAACCTCGTCTCCAAAGGGAGGGAGGGAGGGAAAAATTTTACAAAAATCGTATACTGAGCGCTAACCTCGCTGAATAACAGAAGCCAAGTCAACTCTGAACACTTGTTCTAGGCTTTTATAGCTAGACAAACGTCTGCTGGCATAGCCAGTAGAAAAGGCTGTACTACAAGACAGCTCAGCGTTGCACGTGCGAACTCTTCGCCATGAATAGTGCATTGAAAAAGTTGGCCAATGCTGTGGATCGTACTAGCATGCTAAAGACAACAAGGCCGTAAAGTTCTACGCTAGAATACAATGTATCTTAGAGCTTGCTGACCTTGGCAGCTTGACTACACAACTGCTTTATTGAAAAGGAACCGCCATGAAAGGGTTACTGATAACTGGCGTCACGTTCCATTAACTACATCTTACTGGCGTGACAGTAAAATAGCTTCTTAACCGTAAATTTAACAGTTTTTAAGTCATTTCAGTCTCAAACCTTTTACGATAATAAAACACAATGTTCATGTACATTGGATAAAAAAGCTGTGGGATTATCGTGCGTAAAATAATGTATTTTTTGAATATGCTGTTATGAAGTCTACTATTGCTGCCTTTCCTCTCATATCATTTGATGTAATTTGCTACTTCATTAGGAAAGAGCGCTGACTTTGATATCTGAAGCCACAATTTTTATGATGACCGAGTTTAACTCCAACAGTACCCATGATGCCAAGCTAGCTCTGAATGTTAGCAAAGTCTTGCTTGACAGTTTGGGGGGTATTTTACAAGTATCATCCAGAGATGCCAAACAGGATCAGCAAAACGAGTCTAGACAAGTGAGGATTACTTATCAGTAACAACTGATTTCTTTCTTGGATTAATTTGCCTTGCAAAACCCAATCAACCACATCCCGCAGTTGAATATTTGATTAAAGGTAGTTTTTAAACATTTTTTTTAATTTACTTGGAATAGTTTCGGTGCCATTTTGATACTCTTCTAACAATCCAATAAGAATCCAATAGTGTACGAAGCGGAAAACTACTCTCTTATATAACTGCGAGAAGGTCTGGTTTACTCTGAAGCTGATGACGAAAAAGGGCTTCAACG